AATATCAGAATATGTTGCTGCTTTACGTCAATTAAGTGAATTTTGTGAATTCGGCGATACGCTGTCTGACAGACTATGTGAAAAGTTTGTGACAGGTGTAAACAGCCCTGATATTCAAAGAAAGTTGCTGCTCGAGTCAGATCTAAAATTGGAAAAAGCAATACAACTTGCAACTTCATACCAGCAGTCATCAGATGCGGCGAAATCTCTAACGCCTTCAGGGATCCATGCAGTAAACAGCAGGTTAGTCGATAAACATCAACCCCATCAGAGCATTCCAACTTATGCTAAACACCCTGCTCGTTCAAGTCCTAGATCTAAATCTAGTAATAATTATCAAAAATGTCATCGATGCAAAGGTCCCCATGCATCTCATCGGTGCAAGTTCAAGTCTGCAACTTGTTATAAGTGCAGTAAGCAAGGTCACATTGCTAAGGCCTGCTTTGCAAAGTCTTCGTCTGTTGCTAAATCTAGCCAGTCAAGACAGTACCGCAACCAAAGGCAGCACTATGTTAACTCTCACCAAGACTACCTAACCCAACCAATGAACCACTCTACCTGTGAAAATGCTCAAACTGATTCGCAGCCGGATTTCAACCTGTTCTCTGTGAAATCAATAAGTCATGCTCCCATCAATGTACAAGTTAATATCAACGGTAAGAGCATCAGCTTCCAACTTGACACTGGAGCATCACTAACAGTCATCACAAAGAAGGATTTTGACGCTGTCACAGGAGGATCAGTGCCTCTACAGCCGTGTCACAAGTGTCTAACAACATACACTGGTGACAATGTTCCGGTAATAGGAGAGTGTATGGTTCATGTAAGTTATAATGGTCAAAGTGTTAAACTTCCTCTTCTTGTGGTTGAAGGAAATGGACCGCCATTACTAGGTAGGAACTGGTTAAGTGATCTTAAGTTAAATTGGGAGAGTATTTGTTCATTGAAGAATGTAAAAGAATCTAGTCTTACTTCACTAGATAAAGTAATATCTGAAAATAAATGTGTTTTTGGTAACTCTGGATTACTAAATGATAGAACAGTGAAGTTAAGCATTAAAGATACAAATCCAAGATACTGCAAAGCTAGAGTTCCACCTTATGCAATGAGGAATAAAATTGAAAATGAGCTAAGTAGATTGGAATCTAATGGCATTATAAAGAAGGTAGACTATTCCGATTGGGCGACACCCATTGTGCCAGTGTTAAAGAAGGATGGTTCTATAAGAATTTGTGGAGATTATAAAACTACACTGAATAAGCAAATAGAGCTAAATAGGTACCCTATACCTAACATTGAGGAAATTCCTTTGAATTTGGCAGGAGGAGACAAATTCACTGAATTAGACTTTAGTCATGCTTACACTCAACTAGAACTGCATCCAGATTCAAAAGTCTATACGACAATAAACACACATAAAGGACTCTACCAATATGAAAGACTATGTTTTGGCATATCATCTAGCCCTGGAATTTTCCAAGCGGTCATGGACAGTATTTTTAAGGATATTCCAAATGTTTGTGTGTACTTTGACAATGTGTACATAACTGGTAAGAATGACACTGAACATCTTAAAACACTTGATAAAGTATTGAAAATTGTTGGTGAAAAAGGTTTAAAGATAAACAAAGATAAATGTCAATTCATGCTGACAGAAATTAGTTTTCTTGGTTATATATTGAGCAAACAAGGCATCAGACCTCAACCTGAGAAAACAAAAGCCATTAAAGAAGCACCCAAACCTGAAAATACCCAACAACTAAGAGCTTTTTTGGGCTTAATAAATTACTATGCAAAGTTCATAGGAAATCTGTCTGGTAAACTATCACCACTGTACAAGCTGCTACAGAAAAATGCAACTTGGCACTGGGGTAAACAACAAGAAGCTGCTTTTAACACAGCAAAAGAGGCTTTGTCTACTGACACCTTACTAACTCACTATGACCCAGGGAAAAGACTTATATTAACATGTGATGCTTCACCAGATGGTGTAGGAGCAGTCTTGTCCCACATGGATGAGAAGGGTGACAGACCCATTGCTTTTGCCAGTAGATCTTTGAACCAGGCTGAGAAAAATTATTCTCAGTTAGATAGGGAAGGCTTAGGCATCATTTTTGGTGTTAAGAAATTTCATAAGTTTCTGTTTGGTAGGAAGTTTACCATCTTTACAGATCATAAACCATTGCTAGGTTTATTTGGAGAAAACAAAACCCTACCTGAGCATGCCTCACTAAGAATTCAAAGATGGGCTATCACACTAACTGCATACAATTATGAATTGAAATACAAACCTGGATCTGAGAATAGTGCAGATAGTCTTAGTAGATTACCTTTAAAAAACCAGAGCCTGAACTATGTACCAGAAGATGTATTTGTTCTCTTCACTATCATGGATAACTCCAATATAAATGTGAATGATATTAAGAGAGAAACACAAAAAGATGAGTGCTTAATAAAAGTATATGAGTACTGTAAGAATGGTTGGCCTGAAGAGTCAGTGAATGAGGACTTAAAGCCATATAAAATAAGAAAAACAGAGTTAAGTCTGGAAGATGGATGTATACTATGGGGGTCAAGAGTAATTATCCCCAAAATGTTACAAAAAGAAGTTTTAAGAACTTTACATGATACTCATCTTGGTTCTTCCAAAATGAAGAGTCTAGCAAGATCATGGTTCTGGTGGCCACATATGGATGCTGATATTGAAAAATATGTAAAACTTTGTTCAAGCTGTGCACAACATTCAAATCAACCAGCTACAGCACCTTTGCAAAACTGGGACTGGCCAATTGAACCATGGAAACGTATACATATAGATTTCGCAGGACCTTTCATGAACAAAATGTTCTTAATTGTTATTGATTCACATTCTAAATGGTTAGAAGTTAAAATCATGAACACAATCACTGCAAATGATACCATTATAGAACTTAAGGAAATATTTTCAACTCATGGATTACCAGATCAAATTGTTTCAGATAATGGGCCTAGTTTCACAGCTCATGAGTTTAAACTGTTTTGTGTGGCAAATGGTATTGAGCATATAACCACATCCCCTATCATCCTGCTGGGAATGGTTTAGCTGAAAGAGCGGTAGGCATATTCAAAACCGCTATGGTAAAAATGAATACCGGTAACAAGTTTTCTCTTAGAGAAAGAGTAAACAGGTTCTTAACCAAATACCGCACAACTCCTCATATAACAACAGGTGTTGCACCATGTGAATTGCTATGTGGTAGGAAAATTAAAACTCATCTTGACCTACTACATCCAACTGTTCAAAGGTCTGTTTCCCAACATCAACATACACAAAAAGTAAATCATGACAAATCATCCATTGAAAGAGAATTTGCAGTTAATGATAATGTGTATCTAAGAAATTATGGGAGAAAGGAAAAATGGATTCCAGGTCAAATTGTTCAATGTACAGGACCTGTGTCTTATAAAGTTAAAAATAACTTGTGCAGATAATAAGTGTGAATCTGTCAATCCCACCAAGTTCTGTTGATATGAGTGAACCAAGTTGTCTGGAGTCAGAAAATGTAAATTCTGGAGTTAATGATTTAAATCCTAGACCTCCTGAGATAGAGAATCCAGATGGTCAGAATCTTGAGTCACCAAATCAGAAGCCACTGAGAAGGTCAAGCAGGACAATCAAAGTCCCAAATAGGTTAGACCTATGATTCTAAAGGTCAAAAGGACTTTGACATTATTGTTTTGTATTTTGATTATGTTGTAGCATATTGTGCATTGTTTGTAAGGATGTAATCTACCATAGTGTTCATGTTACAATATAATTGGTGATTTTAGGATACTATCAATTGTTCTATTGAGAGATGTGTTATTGTGTTCTAAGGGTAAAGGGATGTAATAGATTGAAATAATTGTGAGGTCAAGGGAACTCACTCTTCTGTATTAGTTATATTTATAATATTGTTATCTTGAGTGATGTCCCTTGTGTACTTCCTTCCGTCCTCTCTGTGTGTTACCATCGTGATGTAGTTAGACCCATTAAATGTGTTATATACAACCACAGGCTTCTGTCGTCAATCTATTATAGTTAAGATGGTATAGCCTTATGTAAATTAATGTAATCAGTGTTAGATATTATGATATCGATCAAGCAATTATTATATAATATCGGAAAGGGGCCTAGCACTCTCTTAGTCATTAGTCTATTAGGTCTTACAAGTAGTTTAGCCTATTTATATATTATAGGGCCTATAGGCTGTTATTTAAATTAGGCCAAAGGCTTATTAGGAAAAGGCTTAATAGGCTTTAGTTTTTAATTAGGCAACAAGGCAGAGGCTTAATGTTGCTTATAGATTTAATTTGAAATTATTATGATATACGCTACTCTGCGACTATCACTATAGACTGCTATAGAGTATATTATAGCCTAGGCCTATCTAAATAAAATAATTCAACTCACTTAGCTTACTATAATTTTTAAAAATGTTTAGTTAAGTATTCAGCTCTCTATGTCAGCTAAGGCCCATAATTGTAATTATCCTACTGTTAGATCTATTAATTATTTAATAATTAGTAGGCCTAATTATAGGAATTAGGTCTGATACATTAAGTCCTATACATTGGTCGTAGAGTAATACTATTGGGCTAGTAATTATATACAATATCTATACAAGCCTACTTATCGTTAATTTGGAAGTCTTTGCATTGACCTTAGTTTTCAGATGTAGCAGCCTAATTTTTATCAGATTATACCATAAAATCAAAAGTAGACTTGTAGATCTTTTTAAAACAAGGCATGAAATATTAATTTAAATAATATAAATTAAACAAATAGCCTAAATAACAACTACACAAAGTTAAAGTCATAATAACTTTTTATAAAGGTATCTTGAATTTCAACTGGAGGTAGTTTTGATAAATATTAGTATTCTGAACATTAAAATAGGTAGACTTAACATACGTTTGTTCTGAAAACATATTTAGAAATTGGTTTTAAAAAATGAGGTTAGGATTGGGGTGATAACTAGTTGAGGATTAGATATGATATTCATTGTGTTTATCCATGTTGTAATTTCTCTTTTACAGGTTCATCAAAAAAAAAGGGAAGATCTGATTTTTACCAGTAATAAGACTACAGCATACTAAATGACACAAGATGTTCTTTCTCTATTACCTCTTACATTTGACATAAAAGTAGGAAAAGGTATGACAATTATTAATAAGCTGCTTTAAATTTTATAATTTGTTTTTTTATAACTTAATTGTACCATTTTTATTTCCAATAATGATAAATATAATTTAGTGTCATTTATATTTTAAAATATTTATATTATACTAGATATAATTTACTTCTATAATATTACTATCCAGGTTTAACAGTCTATGCCTACAACATAGATCTCCAGGACTAAAAGTACACAAAATGGCAATCAGTATATCACAAGTGTAATAACACATGCATCTAATCTGCTTCAGTGGCGAGAACTGGGTGAATCCTCTCAAACATTAATCAGGTAAGTTATCACAAGTTTGCTTTGGTTTATTTTGAACATGTTGATTGAGATAGATTTTTATTTGTATAAATATTGTATTTAAAAAAATATTTTACCTAGTAAAACCAAGTCAGTGGTGATGATTGATACAATATCATTATGTATTTTTTTAAATATTTGTTTTGCAAAATATGCTGATTTGCAGGAAGGATATATATATATATATATATATATATATATATATATATATATATATATATATATATATATATATATATATATATATATATATAAAACAGTATCATTTAGTGGTTTGTCTTACAAATTTGAATTATTTACTTAATCTGTCTTAACTGCTCAACAGGAACTAGGCATACCTAATGAGCGTCAAGCTGATACAGTAGATGTACAGAAGAGTTTATACACAAGGTAAATATTGATAAATTTTAAGTTTTCTTTTTTTAAGGATACATGTAGTGTTTTGGGAGAAAGGAATTAAATTATTTAAATTAGGCCTAATAGTTTATTTCTCTAGCTTATGTTTCACTTAAAATAACTTAAATTCTTCCCCCTTTATCACTAAAGCAAAATTTTATAGATATCTATGCCATGATTCATCTCATTCAATCACTTTTTTCTTGTTTTGTTTTGATGTATTAAACTAATTTAAACTAAAGATTTTTTTTTTTGCTAATTTTATTATTTCAGATGGATGATTAAGAAAATCATTTTGTTTTGTTTCAGGAAGTGAAAAGTGATGTAAAAGGCAACTAATACTTCCATCTACCATAGTTAAACAAGAATCTGCAAATGGTGATAATTGCAATAATCTTGATATATTAATGTTTGGCTTTATAATTATATGCAATTGTTTCATAAATAAATTATTTCTCAAAATTTGATGTATTTGGTTTTCTTACTTCGTACATAAGATGCAAGTGATTGAAAGCTGAAAAGGGTTGTATGTAGTTATAGTATTCCCAGCACAAGTTGACATTAAAACAGCTGAAGCCCTTTAAAAAAAAACAAAAAAAAATAAAATAATTTAGGAATGCTGTTTCTATTAGCTGAGCATATATTTGGAAAATAACTTAATTGTTTACCAGAGAATACTGTGACCCAGTTTGTACTCCAGGCAAAAAGTGTCTATGGTTAATATTATTAAGTTAAAGAAAAGTATCAAACAAACCGGATAATTTTAATAAGCAAGACCTCCACACTAGAGAAGTATGGAATGAGTGTTGCATGGAATTCAAATCAACTTTGATGTTGCTAATTGCTACACTGGCCATAATTGGCCTACATTGATTTTTGCTGAGGTAGGCAACTGTTTTTGTTTAACTTTAGATGTCGACTAAATAAAGAAGAAAACTGACACGCCAATACCAAAATCAAGAACTTGTAAAGTTCGTGGTTGCTAAACCGAGAAGTCCTGAGTTCAATCTCCCGTGTAGATGAGGCTCTATAGTTGGGGATAGCAACCTATCTTGGGGATACAACACTTGTTCTTGGATTGACAAAAGATAAGAAAAGAAATCCAGAAAGAAAAGCAGCTGAACGAAGAAGAAAAAGGCTGGATATATTCGGTATCAACTGTACAATTTTAACAGACACACATTTCAAACTACACATGCATTTCAATGACAAAGTTCAGTGAAGCCATAATGTTGAGTTTGACTGAATGAAGAACGATATTGTTATTTCAAGCAAAGTTAAGGTTTATTGTCTTAAAGACATTGTCGTGGATTGATTTAGACTAAGACTTCCCTGTTAAATAAGCCGACAACGATGGCTCTTTTTATTTCTCGTCTTTGATGTTGCTTTCAAGAACTTGTATGAGATTAGATTACCTACATACATAAGGCTACACAGTTTGGAATCTTGGCTTTCTAATAGTGGACCTGGCTACATGACATTACCCCCACCCCGTTAATTACCCCCCCCCCCGGAGGAGACCCCCCCCCCTCTCCCGTATTTACCCCCCGGGGCAATTACCCCTTGTCAATAACCCCCCTGGAGAATCCCCCCCCCCCCGGCCTCAAGTTATGATCCTAACTCAAACTCTATACCTATGTATTTCCTTAATCCTAATCGATAAAAAAATGACCAAACCCTAAGCATTCACCTTAGCCTAAAACTTAACACATAACCAAAACCAACCCTAGACTTAGGTTTCAGCCTAACCTTGACCATAACACTAACCCTAATCCTAGCCTTAATCCTAACCCTGACCATAACACTAACTCTAATTCTGAATCTAACCCTAGCCCTAACCTTAGCCCTAACGCTAACCCTAACCTTAGCCCGAACGCTAACCCTAACTCTAGCCCTAACTCTAACCCTAGCCCTAACTCTAACGCTAACCCTAACCATAACCCTAACCTTAGCACAAACGCTAGCCCTAGCCCAAACTCTAACTCTAGCCCTAACCCTAACCCTAGCCCTAACGCTAACCCTAATCCTAACCCTAGCCGTAACCCTAACCATAATCTTAACCTTAGCCAGAACGCTAACCCTAACTCTAACCCTAGCCCTAACGCTAACCCAAACCCTAACCCTAGCCGTAACCCTAACCATAACCCCAGCTGTACCTTAAGAGGTGTGTGCGTGGGGGGGGGGAGATGTCCTCCTTGGCGGGGGGTAAATGACAGGGGGTAATTGCTTCAGGGGGGGAGAGAACTAATAATCTGTAAGTCCTACACAATGTCGTCACACATGTAAAACAAAATAAGCAGTGTTTTTATTATTTGTATCCTTAAAAAATGCAAAATAAATGCTACGCCATTAACTCAACCCTCTTTTTTCTCGTTACATATCGTCACATAAAGCCACCGCCCAAAATGATGGTGACGTCAATATACAATCATAAAGTGGTCACCCATTAACCACGACTCACTCTTCAGACGATTTTGCACCAAACCCCCCTTCTCTAATTGTAACAAATTTTCACAAAAAGCCAGATCTTCGCTCCCCCCCCCCCCCCCCCCACCACTCTCTTTAAAAACACTACACCTCAACACATAACCCCCTCCGCCGTTCCCCTGAAACTGAATTTTTACTTTCTCGTATATACGAAGTATAGAGAAAGTCTTGTAATCGTGCAAAAAAAAAAAAAAATCGAGATTTTTTACAAATCTCGACGTTTTACACCTCACTGACACGGAAAAACATAATTTTGCAATCTTGTCCGTATGTCTGTGTCTGTGTGTGTCTGTGTGTAAACACGATTACTTGAGTACCGTTACAGCTAGGTTGAAATTTCATATATAAGTATTTTATCAAAATCATAGATCCGTATAAACTTTTGAGTGATTTCCGATAACCGAAAGTGGTACTTTTTCTACTTTGAATTTTTCAAAAGCCTATAACTTGAGTACTATTGCAGATAGATAAATGAAATTTCACATGTAAGTAAAAGATCTAATTCTCTACCTTCTGTCAAATTTTGAGTAATTTCCGTTGACAGGAAGTACTAATTTACGCTATTTCCGATTTCTCAAAAAACGCACGTAAATTTATAAAGTACTAATAATGTTGCGCACTATTATGCACATCTTTATTTGACGTTCACTTGGTGTGCAATTCTTTTTTCTACGAGGTTTTATTCTATTTTAAAAAGTTTAAGTATTTAAAATGGATTAAAATCATGTCTATATCCCGAGTTGCCATTCCCCGTAGTGTTATATTAGAATATTCGAGAAAGTTTAGGGGAGATCACTCCCGGTTTATTATAATATGTACTGACCTCGATAAACATTGAGTTAATAAATGAATTAATACCAAAAGCAATCTTTTAAAGCCCGAAATAACGGATGAAAGCAAAAATGTGTCGTCACACTTTCCGATCATCCCTTCCCATAAATGAAAAAAAAAAGCCTGAACATACTAAAGGAGAGTATGGATGTTGATGGAGGATCCCAACGTTAAAAATTAAAGCAGCGCAAAATTTCAGGAATCCATGTTACATATTATTATTTTCCGTAGCTATAACAAAGGTATTTACATTGTGTTTTATATTTTACGAGCCGCTATCATACGCCGCTATTTAGTTGTTTCATTTTCTACTTTTCAGTAATTCATAATTTGTGAATTTGACAGTAACAATGCTGCCACTGAAAATATTTGCTTTAAAACACTATCAGTAGCTCGTTAAGGACGATAACCCCCCCCCCCTCCCCACCCTCCTTTCCCAAAAATCCTACCCCCCCCCCCTCCTCGTGAAAGCAGCCCCCTCTGAGTTACCTCCACTAAGTTTAAAATCGTTTCAAACTAAATTATCTGCCCCTAATAGCTGTCACTAAACCCGGCTCTACGATTGTAAACATTTAGCTTGAACCACAGCTCACCAGACCATGTAGGGATGGGGGTGGTAGGGATAGAGAGAAAGAGAGGGGGCTGCTAGGGGCGCTTACAGCTTGGTGTTTTCTATGGTATCCATGAAGAGAATTATTTATATAGAAGAAATATATATTAAACCAGCGTACCCGTCCCGCGCGTTGCTGCGGTCTCAGAAGACAGACTGACGCAATATTTTAAGAGGATTCCATAATTACATTAGCAATCACGTATTTTTTTACGCTTGACATTGATTTCTAAATCTAAACAATTTAAATGTAATCAAAGCCGGTGTTATATTGCTTTCATCACAGTTGTTGAGGCGCAAATTCTACCGCACACAGTAGCCCATTGTATCCATAATGTATCGCACTCTTTAAAATGAACGTAGGCGCAATAGTGTTTATGAGGGACCCACACAGGGGCGCTAGACCACACGCCAGTGGTGCAGTAGACAAAAAAAATCCCTACTGTAGGGCGCTCTTTTAAAACTCATAGTGTTCCTCCCGAAGCCAGTGGCGCATCGGGTCATATGAATTGTCATCGAATGTCGTGTGCCACAGGGTCAATATTGTAGAGTGCTCTTTAACACAACCTTAGGATATCTCAGGGCGCCAAATCGCATCCTGCCGGGGCGCCGGCAGACGCGCCTGATTCCATATAGTCAAAAATGATTGTTGCCCATCGTGTCTTTAGTGTATAAATTAAAAAAAAAAACGAACGTAGGCGTCATAGTGTTCACATGGTAGCACGGGGCGCTTCGGGTTACGTAATATCCGGGGCGCCGGCGGCTGCGCCTGTTGTTGCTTTTTTACCTTAGCCCCCATGCAGTTTTAATATCGCCGCCCTGGATTTTCAGGCGCCAAGCCGTTTATTAACAAAAATCGCACCCTCCAGGGAAACGCCCATAATAAATTTTAATTTTTGTTTTCGCAGAAACCTTCTCGTGAGTGTTTTCATTAACTCTCGAAAGTTTAACGGCACTCAGATAAACGATGTCAAACAGCATCCGTTTTGTTTTTTACAAACTGTGTAGAGAAAAATTGCACCCTCCAGAAGCGCCGCCCTGTTAAAATAAAAAAAAAAAAACCTCCCCTGAAGTTTTATAGCGAGCGGATGAACGGGATTGAACCGCAATCTACTTTTACGTATATATACCCTATATAGGGATCTATATATAGAATCGATTCGCGCCCTGCTGGGGCACCGTGCTTGTGAAATATATCCAGTGGTATTCTTAACTTAAGTTGCATGGCCATAGGATGAAAGGTGTAGTGCTGCTTAGAGGACATAAACAAACCCACAAACAAACAAGCAAAACTTCATTATATATATACATAGAGAGAAATATAAATAATTCTACATATGCATATATATATATATATATATATATATATATATATATATATATATATATATATATATATATATATATATATATATATATATATATATATATATATATATATATACATATATATATATACATATATATATATATATATATATATACATATATATATATATATATATATATATATATATATATATATATATATATATA